GGAAAGAGCAACGGTTACAGTATGATCGCAAAGCTTTAAAACTGCAAGCAGCTTTCTATGGCTGTATTTTTTATTAGATAATTTTATTAAAGATGGCCAGTAAAATTTGCTTTTTCAGCTTTGTATTCTTTGTCTTTGCCTTTTTAAATATCATAAGTACATTCTCCTTCCTTTTCCTTGCTCTATCCAAATGAATTTATTTTTTACATGCACCTGTCTGTTTACTTCCACTACATCAATGTGAGGGACCAGTTCTTTCTTATGACACTCATGTAATCCCATATAGAACTGCGTATGTGAATACTATCTAGTATGCTTTGTATCCATATCTCACTTGAGAATCTGAGTGACGTGCTGTATGCTTCTGTTTCTGAAAAGGATTTAGGCAGCTAAAATTGCTATATATTATTGTTATCATTGTTGTCATTATTTTACAGCTACAGCCCGTTTCCATTTTTACTTCCCAATATTCTGATTCTGACTGTTTTGTTATACTGTTCCCCAATGCATTTTATTAACTTTCTAGATTGTTGGTGAAATCTTGAAACTCAATGATGATCCTACGGTTCATGGTCTTGCCCTTCACCTCCCAGAAAATGCCTATAGCAGCAAAATATTAAATGCATTGAAACCAGAGAAGGATGTGGATGGGTAAGCTAAGCAGTGAGATGAAACCCTAGCACACAAGTTTAATGGCTCTGTAAAATTGATTTTCCTCCAAGTGCTTTTCACTAATGGATTCCTCAGTCGCTATATTTAGCTATACACTGTACTATTGAAATGTGGACAAAAGAATGTTAAAAATCTAGGAAAAGATTAATGATGAAGTCATCTTATTTGTGAAACACTCTCTTTATCTGTACACATTGTAAACTTGAGGGGCCAAAACAAAATTCCAATTTTAGTCCCTTCATTGAATTCAGTATTTTGCAGTTCTTACTTTAAGAATTAACTGCATTTTCTTAAGAAGCTCTAAGGTGAGATTCCTGGGTAGTATCTCCCTAGGTCTGGGAAGAGGGCTGCTGTTGTTTAAACTACCTTTGTACCCTTCACAATCAATCCACAGCACACTCATGTAACCACTAGGCAGAGGGGCTCGTGGTATAATTTACATTCCTGGACCACTGTCTGAATTACAGTAGTGCTTCCTTATGGACAGTTTTCTGCCTGCTTCTCCTTACCCATTGTCTTGCCTTGTGCCGCTTCATCTGCCTGGAATGACATTGTTCCTGTGCTTTTAAATATACTCAGTCTCCTCTGAATTCTGTTGAACCCTGATGTTTTCACTTTTCTTTCATCAGGGATTGCCCCTTCCTTCCTTGCTTCCTTCTCAAAAGTCATAGATGATGTTTCTTCCTTCAGTTTGTTTCTTTTAATCCTGCTGTCCCTTTCCTTTTTCTAAACCTTTCTCAATATTCTGTTTGTCCATTTGAATTACATAGTCAGAGGGTGCAATGCTTTAGAAATTATTTGTGAGCTATTCTTAGTCCTTTTATCCAGGAAATCTTTCTTTTAATGTAGGTGAAAGGTGAGAAAACTTTATTTAAAATAATCATCTTGCATAATTTCTGTTTCTTTCCATGTTTTTCTTCCACAGAGTATCAGCTGTAAACTTAGGACAACTGGTGTATGGAGATGTTTACGACTGTTTACCTTATCCCACTGCCAGTGCTGTGATAGAGCTTCTTGAAAACATAGGTAGGACATTCTGTCTTTCATGTGCCTGAACAAGACCTAAATTTAGTATACTCCCAGAAAAAGTAGTTTTGCCTATAGTCCTGAATATTACTGACATAGTGACTGGGACTAAGGAAAGCTGCTATAAACAAGTTCCATCATACTAAGGTCTCCTTTGATATCAAACTTTCATAAAAACAAATTGTTTTCAGTACAGATTCCAGTTAGGAGATCAAAGATGGGTTTTGGATAAAGCACCAACTCAGACAAATCAAGCTTTAACTACCAGGTTTCAATGAATGGCTCTTTTTTTTTTTTTTTTTGCTGAAATGGGTTTTGCATTAAATAGGTTTGAGCTAACGCTGTCTTTTGTGAAGACGGGTAGATTTTAAATAACGTGGGGAAACACCTATAATGGATAAATTAATAAATTAAGGGATATGTGCAAAGATAGCATTTCCTTTGTTCCAAAAATATATGCAGAATGTTCACAGAATTGGAGGGTCACTTATCATAGAATCATACAAGTAGGGTCGGAAGGGACTTGTAGATCTTCAGGTCCGACCCCCTGCCTGGGCAAGAAGAAAACTGGGCTTAAGTGACCCCAGCCATGTAGGCATCGAGCTGCTTCTTAAAGACCGC